TTTTTTTGTTTTCAAATGAAAGGAGATTAACTTATATTCTTTAGCAATTTTTGGTAAACTGTACATTGATATTGCAAGGCCATGAATGCAACACGAGTCTAACCTAGCATAGCTGAACAGTCAAAAGGCAGCTTCTTAATTGTCACGGACAGGAATCTAGTTTGATTGTATTGTTAGAAACAAACTTAATTTTATTTTGATGACGTTGCATTTGCCAAAGCAATGCTATAATTATAGACTCCTTCCTATGTTCCTTAATATTCATGTGCAGCTCTTTTTGTTTTTTTGCTGAATGGCAACAGTTTAGTTAGTGAAGTAAATAAACATGTAACGTACATTTGTGGTTTGCTTATTTCTTTCTACTATATTTCAAAAGTATATGTGCCATTTCAGTGATTTCTATCGCGTATGCATTAGAGATGCAAGAAGTGTAGGATTGTGTGGTTGGTTAAACAGAGTGCCAGTGCATATTTTTTATTTTGCTGTTATTTAGATTATTTTACTATTGTTTCATTTGTATTTAATTGTTTCGTTTCTCATTTTTAATCCTGCTATAGATTTTAACAGTTAAAATGTCGCAATACTCAGAGACAAACAATCCAGATAATTCTGAAGAGATTAATGATGAAGATTTAGAATCTCATTCAAAATTTCACAAGATTGATAAGAAAAAGGTACAAGAAAGGCTCGTTGTTACAATGAAAGTTATTTATCAATGGGCTTTAGATGGACTGGGATCCAGAATGTCCTCTTCCACTGTGTCTTGTTTGTAGCGAAAAACTTTTGAATACAAATTTAACAGATATTTCGTGACAAATCATACTAATATAAAAAATAAAACTCTTGAATATTTTAAAACTCTTTTAAAATCTCAAAATAAACAGAGTACACATTCACAGTTAATGAAAAGTCTCACGAAGCAAGCTTTTTCGTAGCAGAGCTTATTGCACAAAAAAGCCAGAGTCGGTGAGAATCTGATAATGCCTATAAAATTATGGTGGATATGTTGGAAGACGCAGTAACGAGAACTGAAAATATTCGAACTGAAAATATAATGAAAAACACAGCGAGTCAACAAAGCAATGATATGTCACATAAAGTTGATGAGGTTTATGTGTGATAAACTGAAAAATGGCAATTTTTCAATTTAAGTGGACAGATTTAACCAACAAATGTTATGTTCTAGCATTTGTAAGATTTGTTAATCAAAGAGAAATTCAAGACTTCCTCTGCTGTAAAGAATTACTTAAGACAAGTGGAGGTATAGATATATCTGCATATTTGGGGGGGGGGAAAGACCCTTTTTTGCAAGGACTGTATTGGCATTTGTATAGATGGTGCTGCTTCAATGGTTGGCTCCATGAAATGCTTTGTTTCTCCTGTTTTTTTTTTTAAAAAAAAAAAACAACAATGTTGTTTCCATACATTGTTTTTATTCATAGACAAGTGTTGATGTCAAAATCTCTTGGTAATGAACTACAAAAGGTATTTATGGTGTTATAAATATGGTAAACTGTATTAAACAAAAGTCATTTCACTCCAAAATTTTTAAAAAGGCTTATGAAAACATGGATAAAAAGCACAGTTGTTATACACTGAAATCTGGCAGTTAAGTAGTTTAAAGACCAGGCAATTTATGTAGAGGGAAAGTTTTTAATAGGGTTTCTGAGCTAAGGGAAAAAATGCATGCACATAAAAAAAAAAAAAAAAAAAAAAAAAAAAAGGAGCCAAACACGAATTTACTAAATGCCTTGAGGATCGAGTGATCGAAGAAGACTTTGTTACTTCCATTCAGATGGTTTATTGAAAATGAGATTTAATGACGTGGTTTTTGGAAAAACTCTGGATTTCTGTTGAAAAGGAAAACAATTAATACATTGTTGCAGTTATCAACAGCATACATGTGAGAACAAACTTTTTTTCTTGTTTAACAGTTGGTAGGAGTAAAGACAGAAGTAGCCTCCTTTCTGTGGAAAATAAAATCCATGCATGTATCTCAAAAATCTGACCCCAAAATCAACATTTATGTTACAAAAAAACAGGCGCTGATAAAAATTGGCCTAATAAAAGTATTAAGTCAAGGTACATAAAAAATCATGAGAAATTTTAAGAATAAGAAAAAGTCAGGAGAGTACGCAATTCTGAAATATGAAATAACATACGGCCAGAGCTGGAGCTCAGGCACGGCAAAATTTTTAGAATTTAAGACAGTAATTTTTTATACAATAAATCGTTTAATAAATTATCAACTTTCAGTCTCTTTACTTTCTTTGATTGCTTCAATGTTAGTGTCAAGTGGAAATATAAACATGTTAAGAGAAAAACTGGCATCAAAATGAGAAAATTTAAACAGTTTTGTTTTCAGTATTTTTCCAAAAATTCTCTAAAAGATAAGAAATACATCAGAAATTTCCTATAAAATATGTCTATTACATGTTAATGAAACTTCTTAAACACATTTCTCTTACAATTGCAGCCTATTTTGTCCTTGCACTTGAGTATTTCTTAGTGAATTTACTGCCACGAAACATTTTTCTAAAAATGCTGCAGCATGATCCGATGCATTCAATGGCAGGTTGTACCATGAAGACATTTTTCATTTCATCACATTTTACTGGAAATTGTAGGTCTCATATCCTTTTCAAATCTTGCCTTAAAAACTTTCCAAGGTGCAAGGTCTAAAATCCGAAAGAAAAATTATTCCAACTCCGTAAGAGCAAAAGCCCTAAGACTTTTGAAAAAAAAAAAAAAAAAAAAAAACAACAGAAAGGAAAAGTGTAAAGTGAATTAATTTTCAAGAGACTGATACAAGTTGAAATAATCTGAAATAAATAATAGGGGGGGGGGGGGGAAGGACTCTTACCATGAAAAAGTATAAAAAAAAAAAAGGACACATGAAGTTAATTTTTAAATAATTACAATAGTGTTTTTGTTTTTTCTAAGAAGCAATTTGGAAACTGCACTTTACAGCATTTATTACCTTGTTTATTTTTCAGAATCAAAATATTCCTAAGTCATTGAAATGGAAAGTTATGTAACTAAATGCTTTATTTTAATGTCATTTCTTAAATATAATTTTAATATACTATCGTTATTTTTTATATTTATCAATGGTATTATGTTTGTAGAAAAGATTGTCAAAAAAACCCCAAATGTCCGAATAAAAAATTTTGAATACAAACTGCTCTTGAAATTGCCCAAATATTGATAAATTCTCACATTTAGTACTGCATAATAAAAGAACTCATATCCCCAAACAGAAAAAATTGCTTTTAATGTAATATTTCATGAAATTTTCATTTGGAAAAAAAAAATATTTCAAAATGTTTATGTTTCAGCCAGTGTAGGATTTATGTATAGGCTACACAAGCTATAGAGCCTCCATTTTTCATTCCACAACCCCCCCCCAAAAATTAAAAATAATAGTATAACAGACTTATAAAGGGGCCCATATCTTAAATAGCTTAGGGTCTCTGACTAAAAAAGGCGTATGGTAACCTTTTATGTTGACATTACGCTTGGCGATAATTAGAGATTTAAGTTAAATGTGATAAAAATGTTGACGAGGAAAAATTTACCAAAACTTTTTTTCCATCTGCTAAAAATAGATTTTGTTGATGATACTCATAGACCCAAAGATTACATTTAGGGCTATTTGAATTAAGAATAACTGATTTGTTATTCACATAAACATAGAACAAGCGGCAGAGCTCGTATGGCCGCACCAAGTCGCAAAATTTAAGACCTGCATCAGGCGATAAGATATCTAGCGCAGGCCCTGAATAAGGCTTAAGTATATGTGGGAATTTATTTATTCAGAACTGTGATAAGCCTTAAGCATGTGCAAGAAACAGACATAAGTATAATAAGTAACTAAACTAATACAATTCATGCTTAATTGTCTCAATGCGTGATAGAAGCAATGTAAAATTTAACGGAACAACTTGTCGTTAGTCGCCAAGCTCATGATGCATAGCCAAATATGTCTAGTGAACGATAGCTAAATTTGATGATGATAGCCGCAAATTTTAAAGGTTTTCAGATATCGCAAACAAAGGTGAAATTTTCCAATCAACGGATTTTGTAAAGAAATGTGGAGAAGTGGTAATAAATGAAGATAATATAAAAGTTTTTCATTATGATGACAGTGCTTTTCAATCATAAATCAATAAATGAACGGCAAAATCTGTAGTATGGTTCTAGATCGAGAAAATACCGCTACAGATATTGAAGAAAGTGAGAGAGAAGTTACTGAAAATGAAGAAATTTTGATTGACAAGTTAGTTGGAATTCTCGACACAGCAGAGGACTTCAACAGTGTAATTTAATAAGAGATTATGTCTGTCTACAGAATTAAAGAGAAAGTATTAGCACAAAAAAAGGAAGCAACTTAACCAACTTACATTGAAAGAAATGTTTATTAATGTAAATAAATATATATTAAGCTTTTTTTTTTTTTGTAAATTTTGATACCCTTTACATTATAAATGCTTGATTATTTCATAAATCATGATTTCATATTTTTAATTTTACAGTTTTTACAAGCCATCTTACTCGATTTAAATTGGTGATTTAATAGCCGGAAAAATCCCAAATCTGGAATCGCCGAAGTCCTGACAAGTCCGGATTTCGGACTTTGTACTGCAGTAATGAATTCAAATGTTTACCCATCAAATACATCACCAAAAATATTTCTCCAAAATGTTAATTCATACTCAAAATAGCAGTCATAAAACAACAGATAGAAATGTCAAATGAGTCAAATTAAGGACCGCATGAACCGTGATGAAACACACTAATAAAGCTATCTTCTTAAACATTTTGTATTAACATTAAGTATTCTAAATACATTACTTAAAAAATATAAAACAACCCAGTTACTATATAATGTTATAGATTTATGATAAGAAAGCAATTAGACAGTTATTTCACATGTAAATTTTAAAGTTCCAATCATAGGCATATTTAAGTGTAGGAAAAATTTACAAAGAAGGACTTACAGATGAACATAGTACTGATGCTGAATACGATTAGCTACCAGTTTAGATTCAGCAACAGACCAGTTAAGAGGAGTCTTAGGATTATTACATAATACTCTACATGGCTGATCTACAGCCATGTGAACTTCATAAGGAGTATTGACAATTCGATCACCTCGTAAAACTTCACCTAAAAAGATTTACATAACCTTTATATAGTATTGCCACAAGATTATAATTTAGTAACATTAAATAACTTTTATAATTACAAGAATTATCTGAAATCAATGATAAATGCAAATACTTACCCAAATTTTCTGATTTATAAACAATGGAACCATTTTTAGGACGACAAAATGGAAGAGAATAATATTCATAAGGAAGCTGAGTTAAAGTACTAGTCATTTTTACAGCTTTAACTTCAATGCTTTCACCTTTTTTAAATTCAACAGGGGCGACACCTGGTACATAAAAGCCATATGTGGATGTAATAAATGATCCAAATAAAGATACAAAAATTGAAAAATTAACATTATAATGCATTCCAGATGCCTGCAAAAAAATAAATAAATAAATAAATAAAAAGATATGTATTTCTAATTTTAAAATGTTCAATTACAGTAGTGAAAATGTTTTTTTTTTCACACCACATGCATTTAACATACTCAAATATGGGATAATCTAATATAACATGAAATTTCACATGAAATATTAAGAAAAATTTTATTCTTTTATTATTTATATTTAATCTAATTATTATTATTTAATTATTTATTGCTTAAAAAGTCTATTATTTATTATTATTTTATTTATGTATTTCTTCAAACATAACATAAATATTATTTTAGAACTCCTGCACAAAGGCATTCCTAATCTTTGACAGATAAATCTTGCATTTTTTTATATCTAAATAATACAGTCAAAAGTCTTTAACCCCTTCGCGCCGACTGTCACGTCTACGTGCCAGCAACGAACACACTCACTTTCTGGCCGACACGCAGGCATGACAGAGCGTTTTCCCGTTCAGCCCCGACTGTCACGTATTTGTGCCAGTGTCCTGGAACGTTTTAAAAACTATAATTTCTGGCACAAGATGGCACTGAATGTCCATATGGTTTCAGATACATGTACATAAGACCTTCTACTCGAAATGAGAGAAGCATGACTCACATACACGTGTTTTTGATTATATAAACAAAAGGGGAAATAAATGTTTCGAATGGCATGATTTATGACGTCTCTTTAAATTCGCACGTGGTAGTTGTTTATTGCAAGTAAAGAAGTTTTATTTTCGCTCAGTTCAGTTTTTAGAAAATAATTAGATCTTGTTAGACATGAATTCTTTCTGTTTTTACTGTTGCAATGTTGAAGCGTCGCTAATGTTTAACAGAGCATGAAATAGCAGAAATGATGCAAAATATTTCAGATATTGATTCTGAAAGATTAACTGAAAGACATTTTCCAAAACTTTGTTCAGAAGAGACCGATAAGAAAATGAGACGACAATGCTTCGTTTGTTCACATTCCCGGAAAAATCCTCCAAAACGGCAAATGAGTTATTACAAGTGAAAGGAATGTAACGTAGGACTGTGTGTAGATCCCTGTTTTCAAATTTTTTCATACGAAAGAGAATTTTAAGTAATATATTTAGTTTTCAGATGTATAATGTTAAAAGTCATAAAATGGTGAGTAATGAAAATAAAATCTGTAAAATATGCATTTAAACAAGAAATAAGGTAATTAAAGTATATATAAAAATATCTATAAAGCAGAAGCCGTTTAAATATTCTATACAGCATTATTAAACAATGCGTTGATACTTCGGAAATTTCATGGATTTAGGCTTAATAGCAAAAAAGCCCCCGGCCCTGGACAGACACTTGCATAAGACACTGCCGGCCTCCACGATAAGCGAGCGTTTGCGCTACCCGGCGCGAAGGGGTTAATCCGGACGTCCATAATCCGGAATGATCTATAATCTGGACCTCAAAGCTACGAACTTTCTGCGCATGTGTAAACGCATAATGCGTTTATGCATGCGCATATGCGTTTACGCATGCACGTTTAATGTATAACGAACGGTATAAGCTAAGCTAAAATTATCTAACTACCTATTTCAGTTAATGTTGCAGATTGAGTTGTTCCTTAATCTTCTAATTGGATCTGGCTTATTATTTTTTGCAGATTGTTAGAGCAATTTTATAAAAGTAAGCTTGAACTTTCGATTATGTCAAAAAGAATTTCCGATTCTGGAGCTGCCAAAGGATCTACGAAGCGAAAGCATGTTTTGATGTCCATCAAACAAAAAGTGGAATTGCTGCAAAAAATGGATAAAGGCATATCCTTTGTTTCTCTAACCATTCTGAAATCTGTTTATCAATTTCACGCTGATCTGCGGGAGGGGGGGGGCGAAATGAACTGGAAGTTGATCTGTCAGCACTATCCTTATCTTCAGAGCAGATGTTTTTATTTTATTCGGCTTATAATTCCTTACTAAATGTAGCATTTCATCTCGATGTGCTCCGTCTTTGATATAATTTAAGTCAAATTCCTCGTCATTATAAATATCACGAATACACATCAAATAGTTTTCTGGTTGCAATTTTCTAATTTCGACTAGGCGTAATGTATGCTTTACACATGCGCGCATTGAAAGAAATGTTTAATAAAGTAAACAAATAAATATTAAGCTTTTTTCTTCATAAATTTTGATACCCTTTAGATCATAATTGTTCTTTATCATAAATTATGGTTTCATATTTTTAATTTCATAATTTCTGCATGCCATCTTACCAGATTTAAATTGATGATCTATAATCCGGAAAAACCGATAATCCAGGATAGCCAAAGTCCCGACGAGTCCGGATTAAAGATTTTTGACCGTATTTCATCTCGATGCACTCCGTCTTGGATACGATTTAAATCAAATTCCTCGTCATGATAAATATCACGAATACACATCAAATAGTTTTCTGTTTGCAATTTTCTAATTTCGACTATGCGTAATGTATGCTTTACGCATGCGCACGTTGAAAAAATTTTTAATAAAGTAAACAAATAAATATTAAACTTTTTTTCTTGTAAATTTTAATACCCTTTAGATCATAATTGCTCTTTATTTCATAAATTACGGTTTCATATTTTTAATTTTATAATTTCTGCATGCCATCTTACCAGATTTAAACTGATGCTCTATAATTCGGAATCGCCGAAGTCTTGACGTGTCCGGATTAAAGACTTTTGACTGTATATGTGAAAATACTTTTGAAATTTTGATTAATCTTTATAGAGTCAACTCTAAGAATCACTTTCTGTAAGTTCATAAGTACAGTACAATGTTTGTAATCCGGACTTGTCAGGATTTTGGCGATTCCGGATTAGGGGTTTTTCCAGATTATAGATCATCAATTTGAATCTGGGAGGATGGCATGTAGAAATTACACAATTAAAAATATGAAACCCTAATTTATGAAATAAAGAGCAATTATGATCTAAAGGGTATCAAAATTTACCAAAAAAAAAAAGCTTAATATTTATTTACTTTATTAAACATTTCTTTCAATGTAAGTTGCTTCGTTTTTTGTGCTAATACTTTCTCTTTAATTCTATAAACAGACATAATTTCTTGTTCAGTTACAAAGTTCTACTGTTTAAGTCCTGTAATTGCTGTGTCGAGAATACCGACCTTGTAAATCGAAATTTTTTTGCTTTCAATAACCTCTCTGTCACTTTCTTCACGATCAGAAGTGCGCATTTAACGCATTATGCGCATGCGTAAAGCATAAAGAAAAAAAAAAAAAGATTTGTGGCTTTGAGGTATAGATCCATCCGGATTATTCACTTTGTACTGTATAACCTATTTCTATTAGTTTAGTGTTTTAGTGGGATATAAAAATGAGAATGTAAAGATCTGAATATTATACAGAAGAACATGTAAGCAAGACATACTGTACAAATTTGAAGATGTACGAAGCATTATAAACTCAAAAAATAATACAGTATATCTAATACATAATTTCAGGCATACTAATTATTTTGGTTTAAATTTACTCTACGATACCCCTTGGCGAATCTTTTTTTTTTTTTTTTTTTGACACTAAGATCAGCATCAATTTCAAGACCTTCCGCCCGCTACACAAAACCAAAACAAGAAGTCAAAGACTTACACAAACTCGATGTCCATGTACACATCAACCTATTTTAACTTACAAAAAAAAAAACCATCAGAGAATTGCACAAACTAGGTACTGTGAGCTAATAATCTTTGGAATATGGTAACATTTTGGTAAGGCGATAAAGGTTACTAGCTAGGACTTGAGCAGTGTACATGGATAAAGTCAAGAGTGTGCGCAATGCCATTTTTGTGCAATTCTGGGATGTTTTTTTAGGTGACAATACGTCGACGTGTACATGGATACCGTGTATGTGCAATTCTTAAAAACGTGGCAAGCAGTGGGCAATTCTGCACTTTCTCCCAATTTCGCACCTAATCTTCGTCATGATTAAGCCTTTTGTTCCATAAAAGTTCTAGCATAAGCGTAATTCGCCATTGTTGGAAAAAAATGTGATTAAAAAAAACATACCTTTTCTTCGTTTGAAAACAAAAAACAAAAAAAAAAAAAAAAAAAAAAAAAAAAAAAAAAAAAAAAAAAAAAAAAAAAAAAAAAAAAAAAAAAAAAAAAAAAAAAAAAAAAAAAAAAAAAAAAAAAAAAAAAAAAAAAAAAAAACTACCAGGTTGCTGTAGCAGAGTTGGTCACCAAATTTTCGCCAAACATTGCCAAGTTACCATAATCCAAAGATTAACTATACTGTGCACTGCCTTAACTTTGTCCATGTACATATCGATTTATTTTCACTTAAACAAAATCAGGAAGCTAAAAAAAAGTTAAAACTAACATGTTAACGAAAAAAAATTCACCACTGTCTTAACACAGAGATGAAAAAATAACCAAAAATATACAAACAGAGAGTAATAAATAACCCAAAATACATATCTTCTAACATAAAAACATTCAACAACAGATCTTTTAACGAAACACACAGAAACGAATAAATAAATGAAACGTCAATTTTTTTAACATCTTTTTTTCAAGTGCATACGTTCAAGCTTTCTACCAGTATCTCTTCCTCCATGTAAGCAATTCAATTAAATTTTTGGTCGTTTCGGCTCATCCGCTTTTAATGGCAAATAAATACGTATCAACATTCATCCTGTTACTTACCTCAGACACACTCACATCACAATACCCATTCAAACTACAACACCAACGCATGTGCAACCAAACACAGCAGTCATCCTGTTACTTACCTCAGGCACACTCACATGACGGTACCCATGTCAAACTACAACACCAACACATGTGCAATCAAACACAGCAGATGAAAAGAATGGTAAGAATAAAAAAACCATGGTCCATAATGAAAAGAATACTGTTACAAAAAATATCCAAAACCTCAATTTATCACAACATGTTTGGCGATATTCGCGAAAATAACCCTGTTTTTAATGACCTCCCCCCCAAAAAAAACCACAATTTTCCCAAGGCTTAGTTTAACCAACATTATCAACATTAGGGTTACCGGAAAACCTATTTCACGAACAACCAATACCACTCGTTTTTCCAGAAAGAAACCAAGGGGTACTGTACAGTAAAGATTAGACATTATTTTAAGTCTTCTTTGTTTATGTAATAAATGGTTGGATGGTAAAATCTCACATCCCACTGCATTCAACATTAACATTGAGACTAAAGTAATTTGACTTATAATATCCACAGAAAACATACACAATGGAGTAGACAAGGAAAACTCATTCAGTCACATTGCACTGTAAGTATCATTCAATTTTATTCCAAAATTCATAAATGAAGTCTAGAAAGCAAAATAATCATGTAAAAAGGGCTTGACATATTACAGAAAGGATAATTTAAGGAAATTTCTGATGGTTATGGGTAAAAAATTTTAAATGTAACTGATGTTACAGGAATAAATTATACGTAACATTATGGTCTTTCCTGGAAGATCTTCCCATTTCTACCTGGTCTTGATCGGGAAAGAAACAATTCGTGCTTGCAGAAGATTAATAAAAAGTCATATTTAACTTAATTTATACACACAAAAAAATCACATAAATTAAAGTTAATGATTAAACTAAATCCTTAAGAAGGAAATAAGATATTTCTATTCTTTACAGACACAAAACGATCCTACTTTCCATAGTACACAGTGAAATTACTTGCGAAATGCAATAAAAATTACTAATATGTTCAAACAATTATAGGACAGCATTTGTGGATATTAATTCAAACATCAAAATTAATCAGTAGAAGTAATTTCAGTGCATTTTCTATACCCGAAATATAATACGTACGCAAATAGAAATTTCGATTACAGAAAATATCTAAAATAAACTCACACAAATACAGATCCTAAAGGAGAGAGCACGGTGAAAGCAAAATTTTACACTAAAAATTAAAAAAAGGAAATTTAAACCGCACTTGTAACCCGTTGCATATCCCGTTGAAATTGCGTTGCCAGAAAACGATGCTAATTCAATTTCCAGAAACAAATAACTATCGTATTTATTTTTGCGAAAAATGTGTACAAATACAGATCTTAAGAAAGGATGGCCATAGAAAAAGTTGAAAAATCAGATCATAAAAAGGGTGAATTATGAGAAGAATTATATCTTGTACATTCTTAGTGTCAACAGAGTGTCTCATGCCCTTACACAATGAAGTTTAGGTATCATCTTACTTTGTCTACATACGTGAGTCCTCCTTGAACCGGTGTACAACACCAGGGTACTTAGGAAGAGAGCTTACCCCTAATCGAATACAGTTGTACTCTCCTAAACAATACCAAAAAAATTATAAACTAAAAACAATATAATGACTTAAAAAAATAAATTAGCAAAAGTAATATGTGAGCTGAAATAATGATTAAAACGAACTTTGAGATTGAAAGGTGTAATAGAGCTGTTGAACCAGACAACCGTCGAACTGATGCAATTGTTGAAACATGTAGCAGTAATTAACAACTAGGATGCGCGAACATTGGTGCTTTCAATAAAGGTGGCACGAGTCAAGCCTTAAAATAAATGAAGGTATGGGTAAACTTATAATATACAATCATATGAGTTAAAAAGTAGATATGCAGAGAAACTAAGTGAAATATGCGTACACATGTTACAGCAAAAATATACATAACTAGAAGACAAAATTACAAACAGTAATTAATCATCATTCGCGTTTAGAATAGACATTGATCAGTTACAGTTCAGAGGACATCGTAGTGAGAGACTTTGATAATAGGATTATCTATCAATTTTTGATTTTCATAAAACCTTTCAGGAAGCCGGTAGTAACAGGTTCTTAGTCGTTCGACATCCAGTTCCTGGTGAATTCTTTTGTTACGTAAGTACAATAGCGAATCTGTTATTTGGTGCAGAACGCAGTTCTGTGCCGTTTGCAAGCCCATGCAGAGCATGCATTACATAATACTGGACGCAAGATGGATTTGTAAATGAGTAGCTTGTTGTCATTGGATAGAACGATGTTTCAAGCAATTAAGGGGAAGAGTTGTGCTTTGCGTACTCTAAACTCCTTAATACACTACACTCCAAAAGTTAAGGAGCAGCATGTTTTTCAAAGCTCACCATTAAACAAATATCAGTAATTCTTAAATGCACAGTTTATGTGCATGACAGTAACGAAGTTTAAGAAAATATATGCAAAAACAATAGCTACCACTTTTATTTTATAGAAAGGAATACTTATATAGGAGTTGGAGAAAAAAACAAAATTTGTAAGTTTTGTTCACGAGTGCTGATCTTCAATTATTATTATCAGTTTCGTTGACAATATTCAGGAGAGTCTGTCAATGTCCAAGAGAAGCCGTTTGCCCGATTCGTTAACGTGGCGGACGATTGGATGGATGGAAATAGGGATGTCACAAGCTGATGCTGCTAGACGTCTTGTAGTGCAGTCCTCCGACTATGGAATCAGTTTGAATCCGAAGATTCTGGGTCTAGAAGACATGTTTCAGGCAGACCTAGAGTTACACCACCTGCGGAAGACCGTTATTTAGCTCTTTTGCCCAAAGGAGGAGTAACATTACTGTGCCTCAGCTCATGGCAGATCATTTACCGGCAACAGAAACAAGAAACTCAGCTACTACAGTGCGCAGACGCCTGCACAATACAGGTCTGAATGCAAGACGACCAGTTGTTTATGTACCCTTGACACGAGGACATAGATGTGCCCGTTTATGTTGGGCAAAAGAACACGTCTCCTGGACCAGTCAACAATGGGCGTCTGTTCTCTTCACAGACAAGTCCAGGTTCACATTGGCGAGATAATCAGGTCATCAGCTGATCTGGAGGGAACAACGCACCAGATACAACAAATCCCACATTGTGGAAAGACACAGTTACAGAGGTGGTGGAACATTGGTTTGGGCTGCGATCTCTCTCCGTGGTCACTCTGACATACATGTGGTTCATGGAGGAACTTTGACCGATATGAGATATGGAGACGAGATCCTTGATTAATATGTCCGCCTATATGCCGCTGCTATTGGTCCTGGATTTCTTCTGTTGGACGACAATGCGCGACCACACCTAGCTCGGGTTGCTGAAGAATATCTTAAGGGTTACGGTATGGAGCTGATGGAATGGCCAGCTCAGTCCCCGGACCTAAATCCGATAGAGCATCCTTAGGACTACCCTGGGAGACAGGTTTCTCCTTTACGTTCTCTTTGAAGGTCGTTAGATGCGCTTGAAAAAGAATGCTCCATGTCTGGGTTTTGCTTCCCATTTCACTCACCGACAACTTAATTGACAGCATGGAACGTCGCTGCCACCAATACATTGCAGCTAGGGGTGGACACATTCCTAATTAGAACTCATTTTTGTAATGTTACCTACCCATTTTCTTCCCCAAAACCATGACACACTGTTTCTCCAAAACTGGATTTCTCTGCCAAGAGTGCAGTTTTTTTGTTTTAATTCATGTTTGTGCTTAACTTTAGAAACATTTTACGTCGCATTCATTAAAGAATGCGACGAATTAATGAACATGTCCTGTGAATTGTTGTTTCATTGTTGCTTCATTCTCAAATAAGACAACGTTTGGAGGGCAGTTTAATAGGTGTAATGTGAGGGGTCCATGTGAGAGAATTACAAAACGCCGTCTTAGATAAACACTGACCTGACTTTGTCATAAAAGTCTTACAGTGTTAATAGTCATCCTGGCAGAAGGGAATATTTCCTCCGTGTAAAAATATAAGTATAAATATTACATGGGCATTCAAGGCCTGCGTATAAGCATAGATATGTTAATTACAAACATTGTCTTGTGCAAGTTACATGTGATAGTTACATAAAATCATGACAGTTATGTGTACATTTAAACATTATCTGAATTCATATTTACAATTCTTTTACGGAGATAGTCAAAGTAAACTTGTAATTCATTTACACATTCACTGGATTTTCAATATCATTTAAACTGCTTTACAATATTATTTTTATCAAGTACATATAAACTGGATAGTAATATGCTTACATTACAGTAGTTCTGCTCTTACAGTCCTGTTACTATTCTACTGGGTGAGCTTTTTTTTCTAGTGTTAATTTTCAGTTGTTGTAGTATTTTGAACTGCTATTAAAATTACGCGGCGAAGATACAATTCTTATGGGAGGGGGAGAATTTCTTAGTACCTTGCTGAGCATAGCCTGATCACCTCCTCTATTTTAGTTTTCGTCTGCTTGTTGCCGCAGGTATTCTCCGCCCATTGCGGCCAGTATTCATTACTTGGTATTTTTAAATACAGTTTGTCGGTTTGTGGGAAGTTGAAGAGGAAGTGATCTGCGTCTCATACCGCACCATATTCACACAATTCTGATGCTCGTTGGCCGAATCTCTTAAGATAATGTGGGAAGGGACCATAGCCAGTATAGAATTGAGTTTGTGTTCCGCTGTATGTATTAATTGAGCATGTAACTTTCGGAAAGAACTTCTAGGTTCTCCTCCCCGTGCTTTCCCTTTCCCATCTTTTCTGCCTTTCTTGTAAAAGCCTATTGAGCGTGATTTTTTTAAATACGACTGCGGAACACTTACTGCGTTTTCCAATCTACTGGAGTCATTGGCTGCAGATTTCGCAAGCACGTACGCCGCTTCGTTGCCAGTAATACCCACATGAGTTAAAACCCAGATCAGGATAGGTTTGTCATCTGGTGGGACACTTAGAAGAATTTTCTGAATAACTTGCACCAAAGGACTCCTTGTCTTGTGCCCTCGGATGGACACCAAATTTAAGGCAGAGTCGCTATATATGTTGATCTTTATTTCTAATTGATATTTTGCCAAATTGATGTCTGCTTTTAATGCAAGAAGCTCTGCCTGAAAGACGGTATTTTTGTCTGCCAGTCGTCTTTCCCAAGTTTTAACCACTTCTCCTTCTTGGAGTACACAGTAGGCGCAGCCTGTGCCTTTCTCCGTCTTTGGGCCATCTGTATAAATAGCTAATGCTTTCTCATTTGGCGGGGTTTATTGCATGTATATTGCGTGCGATGAATCTGTATCTGCAGGGTGTCCAAGCATGATCGGCTTGCGCATCTCATAGTCTGTGGGATAGAATGTCTTTTGCCACAGAGAGACGTTATTTTTCAGGCACAATGTTCTTACTAATAGTGATTCTCTCTCCACTAGAAGGTACAGTGGAAGGATACCCGCCAGCACTTGCAATGCCGCAGTTGGGGATGTTCTATTACCTTTGCATACGATCAAAAGTTGCGTTCTTTGTATGGTGAGAAGCTGCCTCCTCATATGGTCAGTAAGCTTCCTTCCCCATATAATATGATTTTTCCTGAGATTGTTCTGTACCAGCTTTTGAGCATAGTGATTGGAATGTCCCAATGAGGTCCTGTTGTTCTAACCATAGAATTACTAAGCTGATTCATTTTCTGCTTAAGCTCTTTAATATGAGGTACCCAGGAAAGCCTATTGTTAATTATAATACCTAGATATTTAAGGTCAGTGACCTCTTTTATAGAGACTCCATTTAACTTAATGTTGGGATTCCTATTTCTCGCTCCATGCCTACATATAAACAGTTGTTTAGTTTTATCTGATGAGATATTTAATTTGTGCTGATTTGCCCAGCTTGCAAAAGTATTGATTGCCTTTTGTGCCTTTAACCTAATGTCTGTGCTACCAGAAATGACCAATAAAAAGTCGTCCGCGTACGCCTGGATACCCACTCCTTGCTGTTGGTCATAGAGCGCAAAGGCTGTGTTCCCTACAAGATTCCAAAGTGTAGGTCCCAAGCAGGAACCCTGGGGACAGCCTCTTTCCAACTTGACTTTGAGTACATCATTGTCCGTTGTAACCTGTATCCAACGATCCTGCAAGTAGCTGCGTATAAGATTTAGGATTTCCTTTGGGCATTTGATGATGTCTAGGCATTCGACTACGTCTGGCCACCACAACGAGTCGAATGCCCTTTTGATGTCCAACGAAATAACCAGTGTGTCCAAATTGTTGTCTTTGTTCTGCTC